GGAGGGATCGTCAAGGGGGGGGGGGGGGGGGGGGGGGGGGGCGTACTCTTATGTTTTGCATGCCTTAGCGGTTAGACCATTGGGGGGGGGGAGGTGACGTTCTGCGGGTGCCCGTTGTCATCTCAACGTTGACGTAAGTCGTTGACGACACGACCTGTGAACAGTGCCCTATCGGAATATCACTCCGGGCCATACGCAACAACACCATGCGAGATGCATACGCCAACTTCTGGTAGGTGTCTCTCCAACCCCACGCTTTCCTGTATTACCCCGTTATCGGAGTAACAAGCAGCTACCACGAACAAAGCTCAACAGGGAATGCCAACAACAACAACCTAGGAGGTCAGAACTTCAGGTTCAAAACACATTAACAACAACAATATCGCACTCAAGAACTTGACCACAACAACAGGCGTTCGTTTAAGAATCCAATTTTACTTGTATTTGAGAATATCGTTCTGGGTAAGTTAGCCTGGGACCACGGGAATCGCTCGGATAAGTGATTGATCAGTACCGACAGATGAAGGTACTGGGTAAGGAGATCGGAACCGTTTGTAATGTTTAAGACAACAACAACAACAGTCGTCACCGAAGCTCGTTTCTTGATTCCTCTTTTGGGGTAACAAAACACCGACTGTTGTTGTTGTTGTTGTTGTTGTTGTCTTCACATTAAAAACCATTCCAATCTCTCTACACCCAGTACCTTCGTAACAGGCTTACTCATCGACGACGGATCGCCTGGCCACACTTGCTACACAGCCGGAGTCATGGATGATTTCCAACTACTGACGGCATCACCTTACACCCTCCACCCAAGTGTTAGGTGGCGTCCACCGTCGCGAGTTTCAGCTTCATGTTCGACAGCTGTGACTCGAAGACATTATGCACACCACCTTATCAGGGCCACTGCCCACGCCCACAACATCAAGAAAAGAAACAACAAGAACAACAACAACAACGGCAACAACAATAACAACTACAACTACAACAGCACCACAAACAACCACCACCACCACCAACAACAACAACAACAACAACAGCACTACTACCACCACCAAAAACAATGTCAACGACGACGACCATAAACAGCAACAGTAACGACATCAACAACAGCAACAGCAACAACTACACCACCACCACCAGTAACAACAACAACAACAACAACAAAAACAACAACAACGGCTCGATTCCAACGGCTCGATTCCACCGAACCTATGGGTTGACGTCGCCTGGTGCATCGCCGCCTCCAGAGCATCCACGTCAATCGCCGCCACCTTGAGCCGCATGTCAGCCGGAAGCCTATCCCACGCGTCCTCCCACTCCCACCCTTCCGAGATCGCCTGGCCCCCGTTGCGGCGGTGGATCTCGCACCTCAGACCCACTCCCTTCGGCTGGACTTTCTTCATCAACGGCTCCAGCGGGAATGTCTCCAGCAGCTGTTGTAACGGCGATTGAGGGTCCCGTGGAGCGGAGCCCGCGAAGCGGTGGCGCAAAGATTAAGCTCTCACGGTAAATGAAGACTTTCGTACGTGCCACAGCAGGGGTGGCCATGACGTCATGAACAGACACGATAGGCACCATATCATATCCCTACGAACGGGTCGAATACGTCGAGTTTTGTCTCTGATGTTGTACGCATTATTTATCTATTTAGGACGAAAAAACACTCTCACGGCGAATGAAGACGATATATCACATACAGCAAATAGTAGCGGCTACGGTATAAAGAGAAGATTTTCTAGAAAACATGGGAAATAAGACAAGCGTTTTTGGCTTGTCCCAACCCTCTCTTGAACCGGTTTAATTAGAAAACATAGGAAATAAGAGAATTGTCACAACCCTGTCTTAAACCAGTTTAAAGCTTTAAGAGAAGATATTGTAGAAAACATGGGACAAGCGTTTTTGGCTTGTCCCAACCCTCTCTTGAACCGGTATAAGGGTTTTAAGATAAATATTTTTAGAAAACATTGGAAAGAATTGTCCCAACCCTGTCTTAAACTAGTTTAAAGGTTCAAGAGAGAGTGTTATAGAAAACATTGGAAAAGAAGAAGTGTTTGTGGCTTGTCCCAACCCTCTCTTGAACCGGTTTAATTAGACATTGGAAATAAGAGAATTGTTACAGAAAACAGCCGAAGGGACAAGTGTTTGTGGCTTGTCCGTACCCTCCCTTAAACCAAGCCACGACTATTACACGCAAGTCAATGGCACTAATATTTCAAGGCAAAGACGTTAGTATGTATTGCATATCCCTACGCACGATGGTTTGGGGGAAAACCCATGCCACCGTTGGGTGGCGTATTGATATCAAAATGTGCGTTTTTTTTTTCTCTTGGTTGTGGGTAGTAATAGTTATGGTTATGGTTCCGATATATGAGGGTGGTGTGACAAAGGCCCTCCACCCTCTTGTATCGGAGTTCCCTCTTATACCGGATCATTTGGGAAACCATAAACTAAAGCGGGTCGAGGTCCGTGGCAACCCATTTCAACACTCATATATCGAACCCCCCTCCAATAAGGTACCCTCTTACTACAAAGCCACGACAGCTGTATATGTTATGTTTCAGTTGTGGGGAGGCAGTCTAAAAGAATGACAACGGGAGAGGGCGGCGTGAAGCCCTTGTTCTTCCTCCGGCTCGTTGCCACCACCCCCCTCAACCTCTCGTTAAGGCGCGCATTGGCAAGCCGGCAGCATGAACGCGCCATTTTCGGATTGGGCACATGTACGACGCGGGATGAGATGAAGCAAGTAGCCACACCGAACGTTGCGGCTGCTTGCTGCACCTCGTCCCGCGTGGTATGCCAAAAATGGCGCGTTCACGCTGCCGGCTTGCCGATGGACGCCTTTACGAGAGAATAAGGGCAGTATGGCAACGGGCGGGGGCGGGGTGGACCGCCCCAGTCGTGCCTCTTGGTTCTAATCCCCTCGCCTGTGCCAACTCTTCATCCGCCTCGCTGCCACTTCTCTCGTACACGTTTCCGGTGGAAACTCGCCAGATCGAAGGGCGAGTTTCTAGGAGTGGAGCACCAAATTTCACCAAAAATACAGAAAGTTGTAGCCGCAGCATGCGTGAAACCTATGCTGCGTGGTCCTCCTTGCTCCATCTCGTTGGCTTGGCACTTTGCCAATCCAAGAAAAGCATCCTCGTTCTACCGGCTTGCCCATGGGCGTCGCTACGAGACAAGAACGGCAAATATAGAAGAATCATGGCACCTGTCGAGGGGTTTGTGGACCCCCCCTCTTTCTTGCCTATTGTTTCCAGCCTCCTACCGCCAATCAACTCTTCCGCCTTTTCGCCACTTCCCTTCTTTCTCTCGTAAAATTGTCCGTCGGCAACCAGCAGAATGAACGCGCAGTTTTGGGATGGGAGAGACAACAAATCCCAGGCGAAGCAAGAAGTCACAGCAACTAATTTTAGTTGCTGCGGCTTCTTGTCGTTGCTTCGGGGCTTCCTTCGTGCTCCCATTCCAAAACTGTGCGTTCATTCTGCCGGCTTGCCGATGGGCCCCTTTACGAGAGAATGACGGCAGTGTCACAACTGCTCTACTTGCTGTTCCCCTTCCCTGTCGCTTGGAATGGTCTTGTGTGGCCCAAAGGCCGTCGCAGAACGCCGACTGCTTGGTCGGCATCGAGGTTTATCAACTCAGAAGAATACTTTATCCTGATTGGGCGACCCTTGATTGTCAAGACAGCGCTGTCCAACAGATGCAGGAGTGGAGGATCGCTGTGTCATAGAGTAGGTCTACTACTGTCATCTACGAACGGCAATTATTTTTCTTCAACCTCCGAAACTCTCTTAACGCATGAAGACATTAATTTCTCAATCGCCGCCCCCATAGTTCATGTAGTTGCGGAATGTCCGTTGTACACCAAGGAGAGATAAGTGTACACGACTGCGCTAGGGAACATAGAAGGAAGGTACAGGGAGATGATTGAGGCATGGAATAGCCAGAAGAAGACGGTAGCTGTACTGGGGCATAGGAAGTGGGTTGAAAAGGCGGGGATTGATATCGATAGGATAGATAGACTAAAAGGGCAGACATTTTAGTCCCACCTTTGGCAAAGTAGGAAGGAACGATCGGCCATCGGTGATCCGTTCCCGATGCTCCGTCTCCTCGAGGACGCGTGGTCAATGGTCTAACCGCTAAGGCATGCAAAGCATGAGAGTACCACAAACCTCCCCCGACCTCTCTCTCTGTCTCTCTCCCGTCTCACAAAAAGAAGGCACAAGAAATCCCTCCGAATCGTCAGAACTTCACTCACCTGGTCCAAGCGAGCCCTGTCCGTTAGGTACGCCTCCCGTAGGCAGAGCGCCGGAGGCAAACCCCTCGGGTTTGCGCTCGCGCCCTGCGCCGCCGCGTTCCCAGCGCTAACCTCCGCTGCCAACGCCGCCGCCGCCGCCGCCGCCGCGTGCTGGTGCGCGCACCTCTGCCCCCCCCCGCACGACGGCACTTCGCCGGTCCTCCCACGCCCACACGTGCCGTTGCTATCACCGTTTCCCAGGAGACGCACGTCCCCCTTACCCCCCCCCATGCCCGAGGGAAAACAACTCCCCCACAACCCCCGGGGGTGCGGCGCGAAATCCCTGTAACACAGGGATAAAAATCCCTTGCTCCTCTTTGGAACGGCCCGCCAAGCCTATTAATGTTGGGAAAAAATACATACATTAAAGCGA